GCATTTTGGTTATTGAGAAGAAGTTGTTTAAAGTTTTTAACATATTTGACCCCTGTGACCTTGAATATGGGTGAAGGTCATTTATTTGAACAAACTTTGTAGCACTTCATCTCAGCTTGCTACTGGCTAAATATCATCACTCTGAGCATTTCGGTTATTCAGAAGAAGTTGTTTAAAGTTTTTTTTAATACAATTGACCCACGTGACATTGAATATAATTGAAGGTCATTCATTTGAACAAACTTGGTAGCCCTTCACCCAAGCATGCTACTGGCCAAATATCTTCTCCCTGGGCATTTTGGTTATTGAGAAGAAGATGTTTAAAGTTTTTGACATATTTGACCCCTGTGACCTTGAAAATAGGTGAAGGTCATTTATTTGAACAAACTTTGTAGCCCTTTATCCAAGTTTGCTTCTGGCCAAATATTGACACCCTAGGCCTTTCGGTTATTAAGAAGAAGTCGTTTAAAGTAAAATATTGACGCCGGACGCCGGACGGACGACGGACTTCGTGCCAGGTGAGCTAAAAACCATCCCCATTTACAGTAATCCCCTGCCGCACATATACAGATGGTTTTCAATTTTTACACCTAAATTTGAAGTTGAAACCCCAAACCAAAAATTGTATTTATCGTAATTAATAACACATGCATGCCTTTCTATAAATATTTTTTACCCCTATTTTAGCTCACCTGGCACGAAGTCGTTTAAACAACTTCTTCTGAATAACTTACAGACCTAGGATAATGATATTGATATTTAGGAAGTAACGTGCCCTAGGATAAAGGGCTACATAGTTTTGTTAAAATGAATGACCTTTACCTATATTCAAGGTCACAGAGGTCAAATATGTTTAAAACCTTTAAAAAACTTCTCAATAACCAAGAGGCCTAAGATGATGCTATTTGACCAGTAGCATGCTGTAATAGAGGGCTACCAAGTTTGTTCAAATAAATGACCTTTACTTATATTCAAGGTCACAGGGGTCAAATATGTTTAAAACCTTTACACAACTTCTCCTGAATACCCAAGAGGCCTAGAACAATGATATTTGACCAGTATCATACTCAGATGAAGGGCTACCAAGTTTGTTCAAACAAACGACCTTCACCTATTAATGACCTTTACTTATATTCAAGGTCACAGGGGTCAAATATGTTTAAAACCTTTAAATAACTTCTTATTCAAATGAATTACCTTCATCTATTTTCAAATATGTTTAAATCTTTAAATGACTTGTTCTGAATATTCAAAAGGTCCAGGGTAATAATAGTTAGACAGAAATATGCCGGAATGGAAGGCTATAAACTTTCAAGGTCACAGGCGTCATGTTTAAATCATTTAATAGATTCAAATGGATCGAACACAGATATTTTGCCTGTAGCTATATATTAGTCCACTTTTAAGATTACAAGTGTGAGATTAATACCAGGTTAGCGATTCAGGCCCATTGGGCCTCTTGTTATTTGTACCGTCATCAGCACTGCCTCCAAACCCAGAACTAGTACACAGGCAGCAGCACTGCCTCCAAACCCAGAACTACCACATAGCAACCATACTGCTTTGTCAGCCTCCTTCCATGAGGTTATTAAAGAGGCTTTCCAGGCGGGCATGGCAGAAGCGAGGGCTTCCCTACATTAGCAGACTTTGCCTTCAGCAGCCTTAGGGGCCCCAGACCAAGTACATAATCAGGAGCAGGCATAGTTAAATATGGAGCATCCTACTACGTCGCAACAAGCGGAACCAGAGCAGCTGTCGGGGATACAACACCCACCCACTACTGGAAACATTTGGTGGGTTAAGCAGTGCCGATAATTTCATTACAGAGGTCGACCCCTCTTCCACAGACGTTTAAACATCATCAAGCATCCCCTTGGGGGATATGGTGAACATGAAATTGAAAGAATAAATCTGGGAAGATAAGTTTGTGGACAACGGGGACATACAAAACAAGCCTGTTAGTCAACAGGACCGTTTTGAAATGTTTGTAACGGATGGGGTAGATGGGTCGCCTTCTGTATATTGGGCTCAGAAATCTATGCCGAAGGTTTTATCCATTGATCAGTGGACAAACAAACTCAAATTTCCGTCAGCTAGACGCAATCCCCAATTCAGTGCCAATACATCTGGGCAAAAAAAGGGGAAAATGAAAGGCTTTTGCTGGAAATTTCAGGAGGGTCTTCCCTGTCTTGGGGGAAAAGCGTGTAAATTTAGGCATAAGTAGTCAGAAGGAGGAAATGAGGAAGAAAAATATATGTATAAAAGATATCTTTGCTTTTTTATATAATAAAATAAATGCATTCAAGATATTCTAATAAAAAGCAAAGTCCTTCAGCTGTTGCGGCTGCTGTTGTTGTGGCTGCTGCTGCTGTTGGTGTTGCTGACGCTTGTAAGGGTGCATCCTCTAAGTAAATACAGATAGACAGAAGAAGTGAGACGAAAAAAGGGAGTAATTCACCCACATCGTCTGGTCCCGGACAATAGGCCAGGTAGGATCGCATGCTTCAGCGAAACATACTGACACTTCTCAGCACCACAGTTAATACAAATTACAATGCAGTAACTGTATTGTATGTATATATATATGCGTACGATGGGACCATTGTCAAAGGAATACACACTTACAGGTACCATCCCATGCAAAAGTATATGTGGAATACAAATGCTATATTGTAAAGTCAAATGTATAATGCATATTGAATGTTACATGAGATAAATGAAGCTCATGAAAAAAAGGAGATAAGTCCCAATTGTAAAATAATTATACTGTTTGGTATAAATTATGAGTGATAATCCCTTATATATATAAAGGTCAAATGGGTGATTTTTGTACATAAATACAATCTGTTAATTTATACACAGTCCACTCATTCATATGCACATGTACGTATATATATAGATATGCCAATGTCTGGATAATTGCAGGATAGTCATGTCTGACTTTGTTCAAATTTTTATTAATTAATGTGTATAGTAAGAATTTATACAGAAATTAATTATCATAATGATTAAATATAATTATGAGGTAGAAATTGACTATCAAACAAGGGTACTGTGTTGTGTACAATTTTTAAATGCAGTAAAAATATACAGCATCATAGTACAAATTCCAATACATAAATGAATTGAAATTAACTTACAAGAAATTACTGCAGAGTTCTGGTTCCTCTCAGGATAGCTGCTTTTAAACTCTGTAGATACCTCGGCATATATGATGGGTTTATATGCACCCCATCTGATGCAAGGAACGGGAGGTCTGGGGTCCAAAAGCCTCGATGCTTCCAGAAGGTAATGTTTTGTGTGGGTTTTACTTTCCGATCCACATGTAGGTTGGTCGAGATGACTTTCTCATTGTAATTGCTTGATGTCGCCCAACGCTGACGCCACAGTGGTTGGCCGATGATAATGTGTCACGCACCTTTATATTGCAATAGATATTCGCAGAACTCAATTATATCATCTGATAATTGTGACGGGGTAATATGGTCCTTACACAAATCGTTCGACCCAATCTGCACGAACACTAAGTGTCTTCCGTGATGCACATATGGGAACTTGAGCAAG